TACAAAAACCTCCCGACTAAAAAAACCCCAGGACGGATGGATTTACAGCAGAGTTCTAAAAGACATTTAAAGAAGATCTACATCCAATACTACTTAACTTATTCAAAAAGATAGAAATGGAGGGAGAACTTCCAAATTCCTTCCATGAAGCCAGCATCACTCTAATACCAAAGCCAGGTAAAGATACAACCAAAAAAGAAAACTATAGACCCATATCCTTAACGAACATAGATGCAAAAATTCTCAACAAGACACTTAGGAACTGCATACAGACACGTATTAAAAAATCATCCACCATGATCAAGTCGGCTTTATCCCAGTAATGCAGGGATAGTTCAATATACATAAGTCAATAAGCATTAGAAATCACATAAATGGGCTCAAAGACAAGAACCACATGGTCATCTTGATAGATAAAGAAAAGGCCTTTGACAAAATTCAACATGCATATATGTTCAAAGTCCTAGAGAGCACTGGACTGGAGGGAACATACCTCAATATAAATTAAAGCCATATATAACAAACCCACAGCCAACATCATTCTAAATGGAGAAAAACTGGAAGCATTCCCATTGAAATCAGGAACTAGACAAGGCTGTTCACTATCTACACTTCTCTTTACCATAGTACTTGAAACTCTTGCAAGAGCAGTAAGACAAGAGCAGGAAATTAAAGGAGTAATAATTGGAAAAGAAGAGATGATATGATATTATATCTAGGAGATGCGAAAAATTCCACCAGAAAACTCCTATAAATTATTAAAAGTTCAGTAAAATGGCAGGTAACAAAATTAACCTACAAAAGTCTGTAGCCTTTCTAAACACCAATAACACGCAATCAGAGAAAGCACATGGAAACACTCTGCTTCACAACAGCTGCAAAAAAAAAAAAAATATCTCAGAATAAACCTGACCAAAGACATTAAAGAGCTTTACAATGAAATTTTTAAATCACTAAAGAAAGAGATTGAGGAAGACATCAGAAGATGGAAGGACCTCCCATGCTCATGGATAGGAATAATTAATATTGGGAAAATGACCATCCTACCAAAAGTCATTTATAAATTCAAGACAATGCGAATCAAAATCCCTGTGACATTTTTCACAGAATTGGAAAAAAACATCCTAAGATTCATATGGAAGCAGAAAAGATCTCGGTTAGCCGAAACAACAGGAGCACTAAGAACAATGCCAGGGGAATTACTATACCAGATTTTAAGCTGTATTACAGAGCTACAGTCATAAAAACAACATGGTACTGGCACTAAAAGAGACCCATAGATCAATGGAACAAAATTTAAGACCCAAATATGAGTAAATACGATTTCAGCCACCTGCTATTTGACAAAAGGGCCAAGAATATTCACTGGAAAAAAGACAGCATGTTCAGCAAATGGTGCTGGCAAAACTGGATCTCCACCTGTAGAAGAATGAAACTAAACCCTTATCTTTCACCCTGCACGAAAGTCAGTTCCAAATGGATCAAAGACCTCAATGTAAAGCCTGAAACTCTGAATCTTTTAGAAGAAAACATTGGGAAAAACCTAAAAGATAAAGGTGCAGGAAAGGTTTAATAAACCGGACATCAATTGCTCAGAAACAAGGGCAAGAATTAACAAATGGGACCTCATTAAACTAAAAAACTTCGGTACATCAAAGGAGGCAACCAGGGAAGCGAACAGAAAATGCACAGAATGGGAGAAAATCTTTACCAGCGACACATCCAACAGAGGTTTAATATCCAGAATATATAACAAACTCAAAAAACAGAGAATCAAGACAAGAAGCAACTCAATTAAAAGATGGGCTAAGGAGCTGAACAGAGAGTTCTCAAAAGAAGAAGTAAAGATGGCTATGAAACATCTTAAAAGATGTTCAACATTACTAATAATTAGGGAAATGCTAATTAAAACCACTTTAAGATTACACCTTACCCAAGTCAGACTGTATAAGATCAAGAGAACAAATGATACCAAATGTTGGAGAGGATGTGGGGAAAGGGGAATGCTCATCCACTGCTCGTGGGGCTGCAAATTTGTTCAGCCCCTATGGAAAGCAGTATGGAGAACTCTTCAGAAACTACAAATGAACCTACCATTTGACCCAGTTATACCACTCCTTGGCATACAGCCAAAGAACTCATTCTATTGCAGAGACACTTGTACATGCATGTTTCTTGCTGCTCTTTTCACAACAGCTAAGAGATGGAAGCAACCTAAGTGTCCCTCAATTGACGAGTGGATAATGAACATGTGGTTCATTTATACGATGGAGTTTTACACAGCATTAAAGAAGGATGAAATCATGAAATTTGCAGGTAAATGGATGGAACTAGAAACTGTTACACTAAGTGAAGTAACACAGGCTCAGAAAAAAAAAATCGACATACGTTCTCTCTCATAAGTGGATCCTAGAACCAAACCCTAATAAATGAGTATGTATCCAGACATAAGAACCAGGAAAATAGAAAGGAACCTGGGAGGTAAAGGAAAAGAAAGAACCTGAAGGAGAAGAACAATAGGAAACAGGCCTTAATAAGGGAGATATAGATAAAAATTGGGTTAGTTTAAGGGAGGGGGGAGGGAAGGGTATACAAGGAACCTAGGGGATAAAGGAAAAGAAGGAGCTCAAGAGAGGTAGGACCGTAGGAGAAGGGTATTATTAAGGGAGAAAGGGGGAAATGGGGGCACTTTAAGTGGGAAAACCTCACTTAAGGGGTGAGACAATGAGAGAGATAAATAATGCCTAGCTAGTTTTGAAAACCAGAGGGAACCATATTACTCCTACAACCTACTGAAAAATTATACATAGATTAAGAAATATATGTCTAGGTAAGGTTTTTCTGAGAACAACTGGTCTTTGCCAAAGATTTATTTACATGACACATAGTAATTAGAAGTAGCAGACTGGTGGAACTAACGTTCTTGGGTGTTTAACAGACATACTTTGAGGCCTATACTTATTGGTCAGAGGGACATAAAGGACAGTTTTTGCTCCTTGCCATCCTCAGTCTATTAGTTTCAGGGGACTATAAGTATCTCTCAAAATGTCCTGTAATTGTGGTTGGTCACCTGTCCTCTTGATCAAGGAGGCCGAGGAAACCCCACGAGATGGACACAAAGAGGAGGATCAACACAGAGGAATCACTTCCTCCATGCTTCCAAGCGAAGCCAAACATGGTAGAGCAGGACCTTTGACTTATCTTCACATAGGCGGAACTGGTAAAATAAAGGAGCCGGGGCTCCTCCCAAGTCCATGAGGAACAGATTCTCAAATGACCTTAAGAGTAAAAATAAATTAGTTTATCTGGGCCAACTGTACGGCCTTAAACATCCAAAAGGAAAGTATAACCAAATATTAAAGGGGTCAATATAATTTCATAAGAGTCCATGCAAAGCTAAAGGCTATATAAGAAGCAACAATGCCAGACAGGAGATACCTTCTTTTGAGTTGTTGGCCAGGCTGACCAAAGGGACTCCCAGCATAGAACTGGGAAAATGAACAGCAGACCCTAATCTTATCTAAAGGAGTATTGACAACTGATTGCTGCTAGAATAGGAACAGCTGACCTTCCTAAAACAAAGACCTCTAGATAGGCTGACTAGATTCACCAGAAGGGCAAGTAGTGCGGATTGGCTGGGGTACTAACAACACAGCAGACAGTAGCAGAGATACCAGAGTATAAGGCCTCTAGTGAGGGGAGGGAGACCATGGGAGGGTGCCTTCTCGGAATTATATTTGAGGAGGAAGCATGGAAATTTATATTTGAGGAGGAAGCATGGACATTTACGTCATGCTAATTAGCATAAGTGATAAACATTACCATTGAAATCTACCCGATGCCTTTATAGACATACACAGGCACCAAGGATCCAAGTGCAACCCAATATGACTAGTAATAATGAGATGCATAGAGATTAAAAATGCATGCACCAACATCTCAGTGTTAGTAGCAAAAACAATATGTCTTTCTGCAAGGAACAATATATTCTAAAATGAAATGAAGATCTTTTTTAAAGGTTAAAAAACTCATTCAATTTCATGTCTTACAGGGCTTATACTGAGTTCAATATTCTATAACTGTATTAACTCAGCTGTGAACCTAGAAACTTGCACCTGTTAAATCTGTAGTGAAATGCTTCTTCTAATCATGTAGTTATAAATTAAAAAATGATTAAAAAAATAATAATAATTAGTAGACATGAAAAACATTACCATTGAAATCTACCTGATAACTTTATAGCCAGGCTCAGATGCTAAGGAGCTCAGAAAGTAATCGACTGTCACTAGTAATAATCAGATATATAGAGATTAGAAATACATGTGCAAACATCTTAATGTCAATTGCATTGAAAATGAATTTTTCTGTATGAACCTGTGTATTTTAATAATGAAATGGAGATCTTTTTTAAAAGTTAAAATCTCACTTAGAGTTATGTCTTATAGGGTTTATACCGTGTAAAATATGTATAACTGTAAAAATTCAACTATAAACCTAAAAATTTACAGCCAATTTTGAAAGAGATGCAACCTAGCTCTGGGAATTGTTATTGAATATGTCAATGCTGTAAATTATTAGGTTTAAAGTTGAATTAATACAGTTATACAATATTGAAGATACAAAGAAAATGGAAAAGCACTGTGTTCAGAATAAAAAGTAATACTAGCAAGTTAGTTTTCTATGATGCAACAGAAACCAACTATTCTAAAGCTGTAAGAGTACATGAACATATTTTAGAAGTACTTAAGAACTGAGTACTTAAGTCTCAACTTCTCATAGAATAGCTCAGATTGCACTTTGCTGTTGGAACATGTTTGCTCTAACACATAATTTGAGTGCCATAGAGTGACCAGTTGATGGCATGAGCAATGAGAAAGGACAACCACTTCTTAGTCTGAAGGTGAAAAGCAAACCATTTACTTGTCAGCCTCATGCCATTCTGTCACTAGGCAGTTTCTACTTCTCAAAGTTTTGAGTCATAAGCATCATCTCATACTTACAAGCCTTCTCTGCTGCCGTCAATCAAGGCTTGGAATAAGGGCTTGTTATGAGGTATGGTTTGTAAGATATTGCCGTCCCCAGTCACATAGCCAATGGCCCACTGCCCCAGTCGAGTACAGCTTAACCGGAAAATGTAGCTACAAAATACAATAAAATAATCTTCATTCATACTTAAAAAGTATGCCAATCATGAAACAGTTTGCTATTGTCTTTTCTTTTTACGGAAAATAAAACAGAATCATGTAGAATTCCTGATAGAAATTTATTTTACCCTGGTTTATCACCAATGTAGTTCACTTTTTATAGGTCTATGAAACTCTGATAATAATTCCAGTTCATTTAAATATCTCCAGAGTTCTATGAGAAAATAAATGAGGTTGTGAACTCCCAAGTGATTTAATACCAGCATCCTTAAGGATGCTATGTGAAAATGCAGCTGCTATGATATGGCAGTGACATTATTCATATTTAGAGAGAAGAGAAGTGAAACAAATGGCTAACGTTAATTTATCCAACTCAGAAACTGAACCAGGGATTTAATATGTTACTTTACAATTGAGACATTAAAACTTGGTTACACAATTTCCTTATAATGTTTTCTTATAAGGATTTTACCAATTTATCTTTAAACAAATCTCAAAAGAGCTGAAATATATCAATTATGAAACAAATTTATTAAGCTGCTACCTCAACTGCCAGTTAAGTATCCACAGGAAGTAAATATGATTCAAAACCTACAGTCATTCAAAGGAATGACAAATCTCTTAACATTAACTTCCAATGAAAGGAGACACTGACTTGGCTTTAAAATTATCATTTATTTACTCATTTCAGTAGATCAATCTCTTTATATGAGCATACTCCACTCAATCATGCATTCATATATAATATTATCTTCATTCTTTAGTCTCTATCAAGTGACCAAAAGTAACTTATCATGAACCCACTGGCTGTAGTGAAGACGTTATATGAATGTATGAAATAAGGAAAGAAGAAAATTATCTCCTAATTTACTCATGAGTCAAGTACATTACAATAAGTCAAAAGGTATTATTTAGCATGCATGATGGCTAGTCACTAGATCTAACAACACTGTGTTTTAGTAACACAATGGGATATCATCTACCGAGAAAATTGAGATATAAAGAAAGGAAGAATTTGTTATATTTGAATGCTAAAAACTTCATACTGTTGCTAGAAATATTAGAAAGAACATATTTTCTCGATGAGACCTTACTGATAGAATGTAGAACTATAAATTATTGGTATTCTTTTTTAAAATATTTTCTTGATTATTTTTATTTTATGTGTATAAGTGTATTGCCTGCATGTATGTGAGTGCACCCATATCATGCAATGACACAGAGGTCAGAAGGGGGCTTCAGATTCCCCTGGAACTGGAGTTAAGGATGGTTCGTAGCCGCCATGTGGGTGCTCGGAATCGAACCTGGGTCCTCTGCAAGATCAGTCAGTGCTTTTAACTGCTGAGCCATCTCTCCAGCCCCCAAATTATTGGTATTCTTAATCCAAACCAGAAAAAAAATTTCCACCCTGACTAATGGCTATGTAACAAAAACTGTAATAATTTACAATAACCAATTATAATTTCGAAGATCACTTGTTCCATTAAAAATTAGTTTAAAGATTCTCTCAAATAAAGAATCAAATGTAAAAATCTAAATGATTATGTGTGTTACGGATTTCAGAAGAATAAAATGATGATGAAGACGATAGTTACAAGACTGAATGGTTCATAGTTTTAAGGTAATTATTTATTCATCTAGTCAAAAGCACATGTGTGAAATTGCTCAGGTTTTAGTAAACATCATTTCTGTTTTCCTAAACATTGTTTTAGTGTGGTGTTTCTAAAATTAGTTATTATAGAGGAGGTGCAACCAATTCTGATAACTTCTCCACTACTAACAATTTGGTGACAGCCACAATATGGTTATTTGGAAGAATTTCTTCCTTTCATATACATTTCTGACTGAGTTCCATTTGCTCAACAGTTTGTATCACTGCTGCTGGTGCTCCTGCTGCCGGCTCGTCTTACCCTTCCTTATGAACTAAACACACTTCCAACTTTAGACTCTGTTCTCCAAAATGGCATGTTTAATGCAATTGGATATATTTGTTTCATTTTGACAGGGTAGTTAATGACTCAAAGCCACTTTTTGACACCAAATGCCATTCAAGAGATAATTCCTTAGATTCACTTTTTGTCATTTATGTAGGGTGCTTGGAACTGAACCCAGGACCTTATACTTAAGTACTCTACCACTGAGCTACATCTCTAGCCCTCAAGACATAACTTACCAGATAATGTTTTATTAGTTGAGAACCAAATAAATCACAACTTAAGGAAAACAAATGTCCTTGGAATGGCCTCAACTAGTTTATTTACTATGAAATCATAGAACAAACAACGTAGAATATCAAGCCAATATTTATTTGTCCACATGCAGTTTTTCTAAACAGATTTTTGATATTCAAAACACATTTCATATACTACAATCTACTCTCCATTAGCAATTTCTTATTTTGCTATGAAGAGAAAACCTTGAATGAATCAATATGATTTATGTAAGCCTTGGTTAACATACAAAATATCTGATCAGTATTTAGGGTCACAGCAACCAACTCTCCAGAGTCTAAAGATTTAAGTATTCAGGACCCTAACTGTTTTCTGTATTACTATCTCCTTTTAAGGTATCATGTGGGTTTTAAAAAAAAACATAGATATTTTCATTAAGAGAGAAGGAACTAAAAGT